ATGGCTAAACTTTCGAGATGAGGAAAAGCTATACAACTCGAAATAGTAGCAACTTCTTCCCACTCCTCTAAACTCTCCATGTGCAAAATTTCAAATGTCTTCAATTTAGGAAATAAAGTTCTGCTATTGCGATAATTCCCATAAAATTCGTCTCCAATACTTTTTACACCACTTAGCTCACGAATTTCAAGAACCTCAAGTTTAGGCAACTGTCCAATCATTGGTAAAGTTTCACATCTTTTGCAGCGGTATAGAGTTAGCTCAACCAAGTTTTCAACAAAAATACCATTGGGTAGAAGTTCACCGGCAAAATTATGAATCCTCAATGCTTGAAGGCTTTTGTGTGGTTGAAGCCCTTCCAACACATTCAAATCATTCTCACCAGAGTCTTGTCTTTCAAAACTCCATTCAAAATATAGATCAGAAATTTTTTCCTTATCTACTAAATTTGCAGTCATGGCCTCCTCTTTACTTTTGACTTGCTCGAGATGTAAAAGGCTAAATTTACCTTTAAGCTCTTTTAAATGTCCAAGCTCCTCAATCTTACATCCGTCATCACACCCAATTAGAAAACCAGAAAGCGTTTGAAGTTGAGTCATTCGACTTAAATGTTTAGGCATTTGCTTATTTTGATGTGAATGAAAAAGATTAAATTCTAAATGCCTCAAATTGACCAACTTTCTCAACTTTGTAGGAAGCTTTATATCCATTCCAAGCTTCAAAGTCCGCAAATGGTAAAGCAAAACAATAGATCTTGGGAGCTTTCTTATTCGAGACTTTGAAATGTCAAGATACCTCAAATGCTTCAATTTAACGATTGTATCTGGCAATTCAGTTATAAACCCATAATGAATAATTAAAACGCGCAGGTAGAGAAAGTTGGTGATCATATCTTGATTATCATCAAAGGATAAATTTTCACAATAATAAACTGTTCTTCTTCTTTGGCGGATCGAAAAAACTTCGCCACCTTGAGATTCTTCATCTGTTATAAGGTCCCCTCTCAAATTTTGATCATTTGAAATAGCACATGCGACCTCATATATAAGATCATGCATCTTACAATATTTAATTTTTCCTCTTTTGTCCTTGACAACATCTTGAAACAAAGAGCGAGACAATAAAATATCGAAATACCTCACTCCAATATCCTCCGTCGTTACATTGCTTCCATTGGGTAGTTGAATAAACCCTTGTGCTATCCACATTTGAACAAGTGCTTCCTTGTAGAAGCAATAGTCTGGTGGAAAATTTGAACAGTAGGCAAAACATTGTTTCAATGAGGAAGTTGGTAGACGGTCCACGCTTAATTTGATTGTGGATAAAATAAGATCTTCCTTTGGTAATTTAATTCTCACAAGATTTTCCAAAGTCAATTGCAATTCATCATCGTTCTTGCATGATTTCACCATTCCTCCTAACACTTTCACAACCAATGGTATGCCACCAAATTTTTTAACAAGCTGTCCTCGAATGATATCAGGAATTATTGGTAAATCGCTTCCAAATGCACATTTTTCAAATAAAGACCAACAATGGTCATCTGGTAACTGCCTCAAATGATGTCTGTAATTTGTCTCCATAATTTCTGCAACTTTATCACTCCTAGTTGTCACAACTATAGCACTTCCAACATTTTGATTGATCTTTAGCAAACAATCCCTTAACTCATTCCATAGAATGTGCTCCTCATTCCAAACGTCATCAAGCACAAGAAAATACTTTTTGACACTCAACAAATTTTGGAGCTCTCGAAGAATGATTTCCCTTTCATCTGAGCCACCAAATGTAGGACTCAATGATCCCATGATTGCTCTTAAAATTTTGTTGTTCCCTTTCATCTGAGCCACCAAATGTAGGACTCAATGATCCCATGATTGCTCTTAAAATTTTGTTGATTTTAAAAGGATCAGACACACATACCCATATAAATGTATCAAAACTCTTCCTTATCATATCATGATGGAAAACCTCCTTCATAAGAGTTGTTTTTCCTAATCCACCCGTACCAACAATGGGTAAAACAACTAGAGTTTCTTGATTCTTAAGGGCAAGTAGCTTATCTACTATATTTGATACTTCACTTTTCCTCCCAATAACTTCAATTTCATCCAGAAATGAGTCCGTCTCTCGAACTTGGTTTAGATCAATCTCTGCTTCATTGGATGTTATAGCA